AAATCTACAAAAATGGGGTGCTGCAACTCAACTATATTGCAGATTGGCTATATAAAATGCAACCCTAAAAATACAATTTAACCCGATTACAAGGGTTTTTCCTCCCCCAACAAATCCATCATGTATGAGAAATGGGGTTCCAGAACGCAATGATAATCCTTGGGGAAAGGAAAACAAACCGATTTTTCTCCCCTCTTCTCAGATGTTGGGATTCCTTTTGCAGTTTCGCACTTTTTCATACCTGTTAACATCTCACATACACATTATACTTTGAAAGTAACAACACATATTCTTCTATTTATGCGGTTGCTTCTTCTTACCCACTATTTTTTATTACCGAACTACTCCTTCTTTCTTTACCGATCCGGACATGATATTATCGAAATGAATTGAAAATCATAAAATAAAAAGAGAAGGTGAGAATAGCTTCTTCACTTCTTCCCATCATCATATTCGTGGTTTGGTTTTAGCTTTAAGACGAGTGCACTTACTTACGTTTTGTGGTTACTGTTGACTCTTTTTTATGAGCACAGGTAGCTCATGTTATAGGTAGTAAAAGTAAATGAGTAAATCTATCCATCCTAAACCCAGTGGTATTATTTTTTTTACTGTTCTTATTATTAGAAGTTGTACAAATTCCAGAGGCCAAGCTAACCACATGAAGAGAAAAAAGTCTCATGGACAACTGGACCATTATGCATGTAGATTGCAACAATGACCGAATAATAATAGTGCCTATAATTTATATCCATATGCGTGTTGCCAGTACCAAAAAAATCAAGAGGTCGACCATCATGTGCACACGCTGATTATTATAAATATAAATCCGTAAGGATGCATTGGGTGCGCATAAGAAGAAGGCCTTTAAACCGTTTGAACCATTTATTGTTGTCGTTTCTCCCCAGATAACAAGTAGGCAATAACTGCCACCCTCTCATTTTTCGACTCGCAGCAGCTCTGACAAAATCAAATCAGCCAGGAACGAACGTGATCATCCGTTCTTCTTATTCCGCTAGGCGTCATAAATATCTGCATAAGATAAAATATGAATGTGCCACACGGCATGAGTGCTCACATAAAAATTGGATTTTAGAATATTATGTGCAGCGATTATTGACGCCCAGTCTTTGTCTTTTACAAAGTAAGCAAAATTGTGTATAATACAGGTTGGTCAACCAGACAAAGTTCTCTCTCTTCTTGTGCACGGATTGGATGGGATGATATGATACGCGTCGTATAGGCAGGTGTGGTTTTACGTGTAAGATATGCATGCTCAAACAATACGACTAATATTCTATGTAACCAACCAACGACAACTGACGCTAGCTGTGGGTGATGGCATTAATCATGTTGGTCCTTCTTCTTCTTATGCATGCAGATGCATGTATATGTAGCTTCTCTTAAAAAAATCGTGAAAATTCCCATTGTGAGCGGATAAACAAAGTACTTTGAGATTTAAAGAACAAGTGGCACTTCCAGTTCACTTCGTGACTTCATGGTTGTAAAAAATGATGAAAACTTGAGTTCATCTTTCTTTCTTACGACGACGATGTCCGCCATTCAGAGTGAAATAACCAAACTATGATTGAATCGAGATTCATACATAATTCTTCTTTGGGTGTAGATAATGCTACTGCGAAGTTTGATAAGTAAGTTTTAAGGGTTTGTCCCATCATCATCTCGGGAGGAATGTGGTTTAAATTAAGAATTCGAATGATCGTGAAACTTGACTTTTCAAAATGATGAGTAGTTGTCGGTTGTCGGACCAACTTCTTCTTCTTGACTGTCATTCGAATTAAAATTCTAAATTCTTGTCGGGTCGAGAAGAAAAGAAGCTACTGTGCGTGTAAGTAATTTGAAAATGCAAAATCTCAACTTGTCATTAATAGTTCGCAAATAATTTATTGCGCATGCGGTGGGCTTTCTTTTTGCGATGATGATATGATGCCGATTTGGGTGTGATTAATTAATTAACTCTTCTTTTTTCCTCTACTACTTACTACTCCCAGGTTTGCATGCAAGAACGAAACCAAAACTTGATGTGTGACCACCATGAATCGATGAGGCGTATAAACGAGTACATGGGAAAATTTTTAATTTTTATTCCACATGATTAAGACGCTTAATAAAAAGCCCTGATGACGAAGAGGAGCACATAAATTCGTAAAGTTGACCTGTGGACTTCACGACAACTGACATCATTCTCCTTTAAACACCTCCTTTTCCTTGTATGTTGAAAGAACTAAAGGGCAAAAAACTGTCTGGAATCAACACTTTTCACATAATTTCTTCTTAATATCAACACTAAATAATTAACATGGCCAAAAGGAAAACAAAATGTCAAAAGATAAGAGTCGCTCATTAAAATTTTTTTGAATTAGTACACATACAAAGTGTATACAGCAGATTGGATAATAATAATACGTAGAAATTTACAGGTAGCAAACCATCATAACAAATCTTGCTGTTAAATCGTTCCACTAAATAAGCATTCATTTAAATATTATCACACTAATAACAATCAGCTTTTGTGGACTGGTTAAAAAGGAGGAATGAGTTGTGTGTCGTCTGTACAATAAAAATAATAATGTAGCATAAAGCAATTTTATTTATTGAATTGGTAATCCCAAACGTGGACGGTAATTGACTGTCGGGTAGGATCTAGCAGTAGGAAAGTAAGTAGTAGTACAGACAAAAACTGTGTAGGAGACTGTACATACGTAGTTTAGTCACAGAATTGTAATGAGGCAATTACAGCAGATTTGCACGTTTGACGTTTACAATGCCGAGGTGAAGTAAGGGTTGTGCTGGTGAAATGACTTTTTCAAATTATTATGACTCTGACAATCTTATGAGTATCCTACATAACACGTAAGTAATGATCATTAAGTAAATGTGACGACTAGTTTTAGTCCAATTGTATATACGTTGTACGTTACATAATAATAATGTTTATGAAATGAAAATTTAGTATTTTTGTCAAAAAATATGGCTAAAAAATATATACAAATAAATACCTGTGATAATCTCCAGCTTAATTTGAAGGCTCATAAATGGCTGCATTTCGTGTCACCTCATTCAGTAAAACTTGATCCCATACAAATCTTTATCTCAACAGCAGGACACCCAAATTACACGTGTGCACTTGTAATGTCACTAGCTCTATCATGTCACGAGATCTTTTACAAGATCTTCCCCGGCACACGACACGAGTGTACGAATGACAAATCTTTTTCTCCGCTCGGGACATGAATGGGACAAGGGAGAAAAATCTGTGAATGAACAAAAGGGAAGAAAAGGAAGGTCTTTTTCTTCACATTGTAAAGACATTACGCGGACCTGCGTGTGCTTCTCCGTGACAAAAGATGTGTCACTCTTACGCACTTGGTGGGGGCTCTACTACATATTTTATGTACTCGTTACGACTACGAGACGACATGGCACTTTGTCGTAGTAAAAGTTGTGCGTAGATTTTTTTCTATTTGTTTTTCTCCAGGCAGAAGAGATACAAGGGGAGATGGATGGAAGGAAGAAGGGGAGACCGTTTACTTTACTGACACGATTTTATCAGGGAGAAGGAATGCGTGTTTTTCTGCCTTAATTGTTCCAGGCATTCTTTACGATAACAAAATAACGTACATATGCCGTGCACATAACAGATTATTTATGTTATATACGCATTATTTATTATGTGCTAAAAATTGGTACAAAATAATGAGCGTTAAAATAGTTGCATACATTTCGCCATCCTGAGAACCATTACGATGCAAGACTGGAGATGGAGTTGGATGTGTTGGTCTTCGCCAGAGATCGTTAGGATGATCTGCGTCCTGTAGTGGATGAAGGTTTAGGTGAGTATGAGAGATGCGAGGCTCTCCTCTTCTGTCCAGGGATTCGAAAATCAATTTTCCTCTTTCCACCATGCGACTGTTTTGCTATGGTAGAATAGAGTTGCAGAATATTCTAATTAAGCTTGAATCTCGCAGATTTCTACATTTTCGAATGTCCACAAATTGGTTAAAGAAGAGAAGAACGTCATACATACATACATAAAGAAATTATTATTTCCTACCTAACTAATTCATCAATGGGTCAGAATTTGAGTGGACATGAATGAAAAATGAAAATCAAGTCATGCAGTAACACTCACTTATTCAAAACAAGAAGGAAAAACCACTAATTACATGCTTCGACTTATTGCTACGATGCAGCTGCATGCATGCATACGTAATACGTACAATAACATGCAGCCATCCGCTCTAGATTTTCCCTCACTCGGCCAACATTGTCAAATTTGTTTGACAGTTATCATGTCCCGTTAAGAAATTAAATTGGCAATGATTTCTTAAAAAATGTGTACATTTCTAATCTGCAATTATTCAAGATTTGCAATTCTGATTCCGCTGGGGCAAAACGTAACAAATAACTCTAACTTGTCATCATACATACGTAACACACCAAAATTTCTACAATATAGATACACCCAACCCCCGAAATATTCTAGCTATACACACGTGAAAAGAAAGGGAGATGAAATATGCATGCACTCCTTCCTTCTCCTCCTAATTTCATTAACTTTCTGCAACATTTCACAAAATTATACTTTTACTCGACCAAACTGCAAGTAAACCATGTTCTTTCTTACATAATACTTACTTAATACTGCGAGAATATAATACTCATCTACAAACTCTCGTCTCTCTCTCCAGCTCCAGCCAAGTAAAAAACTTTGTGAGAGATTGATCCTCCACTTGCAACAGCATCTCTCGTCTCATAAAATGAGGCAAAGTTTTAACCAGCCTCAAAATACGGCTGGATGCAATGCACTACTATTCGCTCCGTTAAAGCGCAATGCTCTTCTTCCAACTCGCTTTTAGCTCTGCTGCCTGCCTGCGTATAATCATGTAACGCAGGAGAAGAAGAAGTGTGGTGGATTGGAGCCAAGTTTTCGAGTTGGTAGCCAAACTTGCAAACTTTATAGTTACCACGAGCCGAGGAGTTGTGGATGTAGTAGAGTTGTGTGTGTGGCATGGGGAAGAACTTGGTTACTGCAACTCTTCAGTCGCCCTTGTGTCTCAAAGAGTAAAAGAGCGTTCCTTTAGATATCCTGCAGTTTCTCTCTGCAAATAAGTTTCCGAAAATTTGGACGTCATTTCCACCCAAAAAAAGATTGGATGCGGGAGGAGTCCGTGCGGTGATTGAAGAAATAGTCATCGGGTCGCATACTGTAAGTAACTTTGCCCTTGGTGAAAGTTCACCCCGGAGAGAAAGTCGTGTCTCGTGTCCTCCCAGGAGCCGTGGTCTGGACGGAGAAAGAGGGAGAAGAGAAAGACTATACGAGTTGACTAAAGTTGTTTTTGGTTGGTGAATGTGAGACGACGCGAACGACGACAAAAAAGTGTCGTGCTGTCAACCCTTCCTGCGATTGGCTCCCTCCGTTTGGATGGGCGTTCTGTCGTCCCTTCCCGGATAAGCATCTCTCTTTACGAGGACTCTCTCTTTAGTGAACAAAGTACTAAGCTTGTGCAGTAGTCGTGGTGGTGGATGTCATCCCTATTTGTCGTTCTTGTTACAGCGTGGGGATGAAATTTTAATGTCACCCGTTAACAACATGCGAGTAAATAAAAGTGATAAATTCTTCGTGGATTATACATAAAAAAGTTCAAAGTTGTGTGAAGGTTGGATTATTATGAGTCAGTTGCTATTAATAAATTATTAATAAGTAAGTAAAGCTATGAAAAATGGATTGGACAAGTCTTTGACGACGGCTACTACTATATATTTATGAAAACTTGTCTCAAATACGTACTTGGTAAGTTTTTATGAAAAATGAAATTTTTTTGAAATATGAAATTAATTTTGTTTATACATAAATCACCACATTTTTCTTTCCAAGCAGTAGAAATATTTTGCTTGAAACTCGACAACTTGTACAAGTAACCTTTCATTTCACAAAAAGCAATATCCAACCTTGATCAATTAATCAAATAATTTATCCCGACTACAATTAGAACGTCAAAAGATTTTATTCCGTTCATAACTCACTTAAAATAAAATATAATTCATAAATATTATCACCTTTCATAAAGATTTTATTATTACGCTGACTGTAATTCATACGAGTAAGTAAGCAGTCAATAATATCTACCAACCATATTTGATTATGTTCAACTTATCGTTAATTTCTTTACAATCAAATCTTATCCCTTAAACTAAACGCAAACAAACAAATTCTCCAATATGAAATGATTTACAATTCGCTTTACAATCACCTCGTGTCCCATCACACATCGTCAACTTCACAAAAAAAGGACCAACCACAATTTTTTTAATGTGTAAATCATTATCACCTCTCGAATCTTGGCGAATTTAATAATAAGGCAAATTATTTATCTTTACCTTAATCTTTACAATGCATGTCTATCAACCTTTATATATGCGTACGTACGTAACAAGTTATTTGTTCGTGTGTACCTACCTACGTAATAATAACACATCCATATTTCCATAATACCTTAGTGCTGACTGACCCAACCTTTTTACTTACACACAAACAAATATGATCAATCTGAAATTTCAATGCCACAAGAGATCAACAGACCACAAAAATTTAAAGAATTGCAATAAGATCATAAACCTAGCAAAATATTGATGTATCACATACTAACGAGCTAATGTACGAACAAATCTGTCAGACTATTATTGCATTCGAGTGTCGCTTTTTCTTTGTGAGCGTCTCTCTGTATTGCTGCTGACTGATCTTGATCTGGTTTGAGAGTTTTCCTAATGATTTTATAACTTATGTATGTACGACAACACTATACGAAATAGGTGGATATTATAATAACCATCATGCCATAAAGGGCAGTCGCATATCAATAAAGAAAATTGCAAGACATTACAATAATAACTAGAAAATAACCAATCAGTCGGTTAGTAATGGCCAATGAAATCCACATTACTTGTTCGCATAAAGAAGTATCAATTGAATACAAGTCAACTAATTGTCAATCAGACTCATTGTTGCCTATTGTCTCAGAGCTCTGGTGGTTTTTTAACAATCAAGGTGTCCACTGTAGTAGAAGGAATAAGAGAATTTGATTCTTACACTGCCCTGTCCACCTACTAATAAGTAACCAGGTACATTTATCCTCATGTATGTAGCAGGCACGTTGTAATAGCGAATGACTTCATACATAATACCCATTCCTATTTGGTTGGATGGATCGATCGTGACTCAATAATTCTTGAGATTGGCTGCTTTTATTCTGCTTAAGGCTGGTGGGGTTGAAGTAAATAAGTAAATGAAAATGTATGTGCAGTATAAAGAAGGCGAGATGATGGGGAAGAAAAAATCCTGCTATCATGTATCATTACACTGCTCAGACAAGACACAAAATTTCGATTATTATTGGTGAGGACACAAATCAAAACATACATCAAAACGGGTGACACCCCTTCGGTAGATGACAAATGATTTCGAAGCAACTCCCAAAAACCTCTTGGCAACTCATCCAATCAGGAATATGTAGCATTGTCATAATATTTATGATGAGGGGCGACAATATACACGGTCACCGCAAATAAACAAAGTGACCGCGGTGGTGGGACGCCATAATAATTCAGGCTTGTTCAAGTGGGGTGATTAATTTTGTCAGTTGGCTGGCCTGGACTGGAAGTTTGTCTCTGTCTGGGGTTTTGAATTGGCCGTAGGAAAAGGAGTGGGGACAAGAATTATAATTTTAAAACAATCAGTGAGAAGAAGCTAAATCTTCTCCTCTCCTCGGGTTGCATGTAAGAGGAGAAGACTGTCATAACATAACAATAAAATAAATTACAAGTTAGTGCATACAAATTAGTTGGGAAGGAGAAGAGGATTATTCAAACTGATTGATTTACTTGTAAGTACGGATTGATGTATGTATAGAAGAGTGGGCAAGAAATAGCCATGTGAAATCTCAAGCCCGAAATGATTGCATTATTGACGAATCCCCCAACTTTTACAATAAGACGAGATTACAAAACCAATAAAAAGTTGGCCACCGACCGAACTTTGCTCTGTTTGAAGTTAAAATATGTTTGCAATTTTCACAGTTTTGCTCGACTCGAAGGAGACTTTTGTTTAAAAAGAATTCGTGGTTTGGATGTAATATTGGGGAAATTCTGATTGTAGGCACATACACACGTTCAAGATGACGAGAGAGAGACGAGAAATTTTTTGTGTACTGTTGAACATTTCAATCTGATAGGATGGAGTATGTTTATATATTGTAATACATACACAAAGTTTTGCTTCTGCTGCTGGCTGCGGTAATTATTATGATGAAGCATGAGAAATGCGTTAAGTTAACTCACCATTCCGAGTCAATTCCCAGTGGCTTCTTCGTTTTCGTAGCTAATCTAAACTTGAGGTTGAAGGTGGTAATTAGTTGGAAGGTAAGTTGAATACATTTGCATAATCTTCCGTTGTGGAGAGGAGACTGATGTGCAAGTTTAAAATCTTCTCCATTGATATCTATCCTCTCGGAGTTGATTAGAAAAAAACCTAAACTGCGTTCTTATGCACATAATATGCATGCTATGTATGTATACATGCGTCTGAAACAACGTCAAATCAGGCAAGACAATTTTTTACCCGAAAACCTCAAAAAATTCTTTCCTCAAATGCAAACAACATTTTCGTATGTGTTGCGTTGCAAATGTAATCATTTTTTTAAATCAATCTTAGTTAGCCAGGTAATTCAATCAGTGCTCCTGCATATGCAGTTTGCACTTTGTACATGGCAATTTACACAAAATTTGAATCTACAATCACAAAATAATCAACTAACGAACTAAAATGTAGTCGAAAAGCAGGAAAAATACGCTGCACCTCAAGAAAATGACGCTTGTAACGTGTAATATAGGTCCAATTTTTTAATTGCTTTCACCACCTAATGTCATCCTCCAATTAATATTTAAATTTACAACGTTTTTTATTTTACACCTTCGCATAATGGGACGACTTGTGTACATTCATTGAAATAATTTCAATTTAAAATCAAAATAAAACAAGTAAAGCAAATATTGAAATTGAAATGTTAAGTAGATCCCCATAAAACTGATTGGACTTCATTTTTTATGCAACCTCCATTCAAACATTTACATGTTAATAGTGTTACAAGTGCAAAGGTGTCGTTATCGCATTTCTGCATAATTTAGGTTCAGTTTAGTCTCATAAATAGTTACATATCGTCTTGGTGTCTTTTGATCTCCGCTTTGGGATTTCAGTTTCTGTGGAAAGATTGCATAACAACTTATCACTGGAATAAAAGCACAAAAGCGAGATGATTACTGGTAGTTCGGGATGATTTTATGGTGACTCCTCCCCACGGTCTTGATGATCGAAATCAAACCGTATTTTACTAACGCTACTCTCCAACATCACTTCGTAGAATGTCTGACAGCCCCAATTGTAAAATGACCCGAATGAAAGAGAGGAGCAGGTCACGATCGAAATCCAGTGATAAAAGTGCGGAAAGGACGCTTCGGAGTGAAATTTCGAGAAAATGTCCAATATCGACTGGAAACGTGCAAGACCAAGAAATTCCGTCGTCCTCATCACCGCGACAGGCCAGCTCTCCCCCCGAGTACGCCACAGACATGAATTTTAACCTGCTAAACAAGAAAAAATCTCGTGCCTTCTCCCCAACCACCACTCTCGACAACAATAATGGACCTACTGGACTACACGAACCACAAATTAGCGACCCTTTGTCAAGCAAGGCGAATAAGCGACCCTCCAAGTCGTCGATGCGGCCTCCAATCAGCAGCAGCAGAGACGACCTTGTCCTGCCGCAAAGAACGAGATCCCGACACAGCAAAACGAATCTCACTGTGACCTCTAAATCCAACGTTGACCCGCTTCTGCCTGAGGCTGCTATCACTGGGACAGGAAATGACGACTCTGTTCGTAGCTCGTTGGAAGGGACTCCAGTAATTTTGTCTCGTGAAGGTTCCCGCATCCGAATTGTGGACGAAGAAACTGGGGAAATCTTCTTCCGGAAAAGGTCCAAATCAAGGTCTAGAGAGGGTCGAAGAAAACAGCCCATCTTCATGCCCAGATTGAGTTCGACCCGTTTATGCAAAAATGAAAATAGTTCTGTAAATATGGACTCGAATAGCGTCGAGATGAAGTCGACAAAAAATAGTTTATCGTCATCTCCTCGTCCAAGGCGAGGAATCAGTAAGACGACGATGGATCAAGTTGCCGGGGATCGATTGATTTGTAACAATGCTACGATAAGCGCCCCTTTAGCTTCTCGAAGGGGAGTAAATAAGTCTCTGAATCCATTTGAAGACTCGGACAACGATAGTTATGAAGACGACGATGATGATGCTGATGAGATTACCCTGTGTAAGTCTGTATCTAGGTCTGGGAGGTCCACGACTAGTTTGGCGTCCAAAACTGTGCGAGGGATTCTGAAAAACACTGCCCGACTGGATGGAGAGGAGAATGACGACAGAGCTACGAGGAACACCAAATGTCGAAATAGTTCAAAATCCCCCACTAAAAAACAATCTTCCCGATCACCATCTCGAGTGAACCTAGTTCCACCCCCACAGTTAAACAATAATAACACCAGCGAAGGTCCACCCCCTGGAAAAACGCGTTCCTCAAAGTTTCCGGGTGAATTTGACCTCACGGAGGCACAAACTCCACGAAAGACTGCCAAGTATGCAACAAATTGTCTTTTTTTATATTTTTGTCGAATTTATTTGGCTTTTCAATGAAAGGATTTTACGCAATGCAGAAAAATTCCAAAAGTATCCACCACACGAGGCTCTCTCAGAATGCCGAGACCTTCCGACACCTCCGTTGTGCCCACTATTAAAACTCTTCCAGTAAATAATTTAAATTTAAAAACCTATACAAATCTTCCAGAATTTAGAATAAAGTTTTTCCTTAGAACAAAATACTCCGACTCGTCTTCGGATACATGAACCGAGAAGATTTGGAAGCATGTGGTCGCGTCTGTTATCAGTGGAAATGTCTCACCGACCTTCAACTCCGAGGTCCATTTGTGTTCCAGGGTAAATCCGTGTACGGTCATTACTACTCGCCACACAAGTGTCGAGACTTTGTCAACTTTTTACTCGACCTGGAACCTCAATTTTACCACCCCGTGGAAATGCGAATCCATTCAATGTCCGACAAACAAGCCAGCACCGTTGCGTCTGACAAGCTCGAAATTAACTTTAAGCAGGCAGTAAAGCACATGGAGTCGGTCACCTTAAGAAACTGTTGTCTCAAATGGAAAACTCTGATGGGACTCTTGCGCTGCTTTTCGAGGCATCTTCGAAACCTTACGGACATTGGGAGCGTGCATTTTAGTCAACCGGGGCCCTGTCTGTGTGGAAATTATCGACAACAGCTCAAAAAGGAAGTTGACCGGAAGGAGTTTAAGGATTTTAAAGACAATTTGAAAGGATTGCGACGGTTGGTAATCTCCAGAAAAACTGTGACACCCGAACTTCCCGTGTATCTCTGCATCATGACGCAAGGAACTCGCTATCTCGATGAGTTGGAAGTGAATCTAGGCCCATACGAGACACCAAATCCGTCGAATGATACCGAGTTTTCCAACTTGCTCTCCATCTTTGTCAAAGAGTTACGCGCGCTACTCTACAAAAATAAGGAAACGCTCAAAATCCTCCGGTTTTCCTGGTCCGACAAGAACTTTATGGGCTATTTTTCCACGTGTTTGGATGCCCTAGAGAAAATCAAGCTGAACCAGTTGCACACTGTTTATCTTCAGTTTGATAAGCATGCCCTACGAGGAAAAGGAGTATCCGCTCTGCGCGACTTTCTCGAATACCACTACTCCCAACGACTCCGCTTCTTTACGCTGGATCGCATCACGCTCACGGAGAACTGGGCGACGACGGCTGAGTTCTTGGACGAACTGGTGGAAATTATCCCACCATCTTTTGCCGGGATGGATTTTAAGGTCGTGGTGAGCGATCGGCAGGGTGCGTTTATATAGTAATTATACAAACCTAACTTTTGGGTAACAAATTCAATACCAAGTTTAAATGAACCCAGGTCCCATAAAAATGGCCCCAGTCCATCAAATTCTTCGACTGGAAGTGTTCCGAAGATTTATTTCCGATATGCATTTCTGCATCGAGAATGAGAATACGAAGAGCATTTCGCAAATGTTTGGGAGAGAATGGCACCGAAAAAACTATGACTATCCCAGAGTCAAGTCGGTAGTTGTAACCTTTGTCCCACGCCCACAGCAACAGTACGCTCACTTCAACAACTATAACATTGACCTTATTTCGACTCTCTTCCCGAATTTGACCGAGCTCAGGATTTCGGATCGGCTGGTCGAACACAATCAGATATTCACACCCGTAATTGGACGAAAGTTGGTGTGTGGGGTGTCCAATGCGCAACTGGAGAATAAGGACATTCAACTAATAGCTAGGAATCTGGTCAACCTGAGAATTTTGCGGATGTGGGTGAACATGGGGACCGTGGATGATCACGGGATGACAGGGATTCATCGCGGTGACATTTCTATACTGCATGAGGACGATGAACACTTTTCCTGGACGAATTTCCATCACGAAGTCCTCCCAAGTTTCTCGCATATGCAATGTAAGAATCGCTATATAATTATTTAAATATTTGCATGTCCTGAGCTACAGAAACTCCAAGGCTCATCAGCTAAATTTTAATTACTTCAGTTCTAGAAGAACTTTCACTCCGTGGATTGGGGTCTGCCGTTACAGATATCACGTTAAAATTCGGCTTTAAAAGTTTAGACCGACTCAAACTATTGGAGCTTTATGGAAAATTGGGTGTAAGTTTTACAATAGTCGATTGAGGAAATTGTACAAATGTGTAAATAGAAATTTTGCATAAATATTTAGGTAACAAAGAAAGGGAAACGAGAGTTTAGAAGAAACATCAAAAGCAATGAAAGTGGAACTGTTGTCCGAATAAAATATCGAGCTACTTAAATGACCCGAAAATTAGTCGCATTATTTATGACATTAACTTGACCCTGCCCCCGCTCAAAATTTAATGTGTGCATGTAACAATGACAAAGAAATAATAAAAATAGATTGTTGCTAGGAATATTAATGGTCTAAAATTGGATCATTGAATATAAAACCAGTTGGAATCTTTAGCATGGAATAATTTTCAGTTAAATTTTGGTTTTTGTCAATCGGATAACATTTTGTGAATAAACCCCTGCGAAAACATGCTCTCCAACTTGCTAATGCTCATTCCCGTGAAAACCATGCTAGAAAGCGGAGATTGTTCGAGCTACAGATTTTCTCCAGACTTTTTCAAAGAGTTTAATCAGGAGCCCATCCTTGCACTCGAAAATGAAGACGAACGCGAAAAAATTCACCCAATCAATAGGTATCTTCATGAATTAACAGTGGTTTTGATCGACACTATTACGTGTAAATTATGACCATTTTCCCAGATTTTTTGCTGCCCTTGACCCCGAAATGTGGGAACTGTCTGAATCTCCAACAACACAGTCACTGATGTCAACAAATACCCAACCCTCATTTCCCACCTCCTTCATCTGCCGATTGTCCGAGTACATGAATTGCTCTGGGTTGAAGGTGTGTCGACTCGTTTGCAAACAGTGGAACAACGCCATTTGCAAAAGTTCGTGTTGGACAACACGCACCGTCGGAGTCATAGCTGGACAGTCAACATCGATCTTCAGCTCATTCCTCGACTGTCCCGGCTCCACCTGCGCGGCTTATCTAGATTGCTCCAAAGTCCGTTTCCGGTACTGGTCGCATCTCCGAATTCGTAACATAAAATCGTGTCATTTGTCTCCCCTGTTGACGCATCACGCGAGCAAATTTGGAAGAGCAGTTAAACATGTTCAAATCCTAGAACTTGATCATTGCTCCTTCACCTGGATGGATTTCCTAGAATTGTTGTATCTCTTTCGAGGTCTGGAAAAATTGACCATCACAAAATCTCTGTTTGGGTGGAATGAGTGCGGAATTGCTTCCAAGTTCATGGCAGCTCTGGGACTCGTGTGCAGTCCACATTTCGACGAATTGGTGGAAGATTTCGGATCTTTGTGTCCCCCTGAAGACTACTTTTTCGGAAATTTGAAAGAATTACATATTCAGGAAGATGATGACCAGGATAAAATGATGACACCCCTTCTGCTCACCCTGCTCAAAGATCGGACCCCTTTGCTCGACAAATTTTCCATCCTTCTTGGGAGATCCACAGTTCAGCTGAGAGAACCAGAAGATCAGAACACCTTGTGGCAATCCGTCCACGCCTTTTTGTGTCAGAAAAATGTGATTCAGTGCAGAATCGAGTCCTTCCATCTCATCTCGAGTGGCATGGTGAATCGATTCTTTACATATCTCAGCATTTGGAAATTCCCACCAAAAAATTCGGAAATTTGGAGGATGCAAAAGCTCCGAATTCACCTCCGTCCTTTGATCCTCTGGGGAAGTTTTGAGCGACATTTGATCCCTCTCGTCCAGAGATTTCCATGCCTCAAACATCTCTCCCTGCAGCACATCATCCTGCGAGGAAATCGTGCCTATCTTGTGAGAGGCTTGATGGAACAGTGTCCTGACGCGTGTGCGCTGCAAGTTGGCTTGATTCTGGATGATCAAGGAGGCTTTGAAGCAGCCAATTTAGAGAAGGAACTCCTCTCGTCGGAACTTTACAGAAGGAATTTGGTCTCAATCGAGGCCGTCGTGTACACGGATGCGACGCGGGAACTGCGAGATATGATTCCGTATCAGAAAAAGGTCACGTTTCCAGGCATGCAATCCTTCTCCGTGACCACGAATGGGGTATCGCGACCGAGATTCTTCACCTTCAATATAAACGTCGTGGTCCACAATTTTCCTAACTTGACGGAATTGAGTCTAGTTGACGGGCCTCCGTTGAGGGTGGGCTCCCTGTTTTCTTCCTGCCGAGCAGTGGACTCTGTGTGGAAGGACATGTCAGGTGCGGTCGTGTGTGATGATGACATTCAGCTGATTTTAAAGAACTTGACCAAATTGGTGAAACTTGTGATCCGAGCGAATATGAAGTATGTAACGGACAGTGGATTTACCGGGTTTTCGATCCAGTATTGCAGACGTTGGCCAAAATTTGGCGTTTTGAGGGCGGAAACTCGCCAGAAATTGGAACATTTGCATCGAGATGGGGTTTCTTTTGGGAGTTTGCAAAGTATAGTATCATCACGAATGATTTTATGATATTAAAATTATTACATCCTTAATGCAAGTAGCACATAAATATGTAGATTTGCAACACTTGTCCATCGAGGGAATTGGTCCTTGCATTACAGACGTTACGGTAGACTTGGCTTTTCACGGAGTCAGTAATTCATCTTCGCTAAGATTCTTGAGCTTTTTTGGGGCACATCATGTACGTAAACTCACTTTAAATATTACAGCAGGCATTTGCAAGAACAATAATTTTAATCCTTTGCAATGTGACAGATATCAAAACAGGGGAAAGAACAACTTTGTAAAGAATTGCCGCATTGTGAAATTATTGTAAATTGACATGCTTTTATTAATTGGTCCATTAATTAGCAACTGATAAGTCAAATTAATTGTGTGCACGTGACAATAAAATAAACCGGAAGTATATGTATATTCCAATCAATTATGTATTCCACTAATTCCAAGATTATCAAATTTTACTTATTTATTTCATTGAAAAACACTGCATAAGAATAATCCCACTAATTTTTGTAACACAATTATGGGACATGGTTTAAGCACCAAATGACTACACCGATTCTGAGAAGTATAATTCTAAGAAGTATGATTTGCTACATAAAAGAAATCTCAACTTCCGGAACCAAAAGTCTAGTTTTACTAACAAATTACACAAAGGACGGTCATTCTGTCGCCTATTTGGTTATTGCAATACAGATATAAGTAGCATCTCAGCACTCACGTATGCACACCACTCAACCTGATGAATATGAATTGGCCATCAATAACGTTCGACAAGCAGAAATGACACGGTTGTCGTGCACAGCATTGTCTTCGCCCTCTCGTCGTCCCTGGAAGTGTGGAATCTTCTTCGTCTTCTTCTAGTTAAGTTTTATTACTATCGGTAATTTAATGACGGAATGAATAATGCATCCATTTCTGTCGTTTGGTTTGGTTTGTGACCCAACCGTAATAATATATATTTAGACAAGCTCTCATTAATATTTCGAGACCAAGCAGAGATGAGAAATCTCTGATTGGCAACTGCTATGGGATGATGACTGAGTTCTAAAATTCATTATATTTTTTCACTTGTCAATAAATTATACTCTAAATTAGAATTGTTACTACGACCAAGGACAAACGCGTTTGAATGGCTCACGAACACAACAATTTTACAATTGTTATCCTGCCTGACTGACTGTGGACAGAATTCATTAACAGAGTTATGCAAGTTTCAAATTGTCATTGTGACAAAGTAATAACGAGAAGGCCGTCCGGGTTAAATGTGTTCAGATTCTTCTACGTAGAGAAAAAGAGTGTAGTTTAATTAGGAGACTTTTTATGTAAGGAGATGAGACGCAGTCAATCTACGAGACAATTTAATTAGCATCTTTTATTATTTGCTGTGTCACTTGGAACTCGGGTCGTACGTAGGTTTATTTTATAACAGTGATAGGTGTACGTAATATTTAATTTTTTTTTTACTACGACACGATGTTGACCTTGTTATTAAAGTGTCTTTTACAAGACAAGCGGCACTGACTGAGCATGGAATTTATGTAGTTCATCATTTGTCTCCAATAATAATTTGATATGTTCATCGTCCCAGTTTAATGGTGGTTAATAATGGTTGTCACTTTAGTAATTCGTACCGTTAAGCAGAGAGACGAGATGACATTTTAAGGCCAGGCGTACCGTCTGCGTTGCGGCTTTTCCAACATCTGTATCATCTCTAGAAAATTTGTCAGCAAAAGGTGGACGTGTTGCTCTGCTGCGGTCTCATTGATCCAATAATCAGAATTGTTACGTCGTAATGTCGGAGGAATAATGTGTCATTGTCAGTGGAGGACGCGATGCTGTGATGGATTGATTAAAAGCAATTTGTCACCTTTTTTAAAAAATATTCCTGTCCTGACATCAGGATAATCTTAAAAGTTAGTTTCTTTTTTGTGTGTGTGCTCGTTGCGGTGTGTATTAAAATTTATACGCAATTGATAAATCTCTTTAACAATCTTGTATGACTGAGAGGTGGCTGGAGCCATAATTCTGTATATCTGAGTGGTAATCATTAGATTTGGGTGCACTAATTTGGGTTCGGATTTACTTATTTCCCGGTATAGAGAAGAATTTCGAGAGGATCGGTTAAAAATAAACCAGGGATTTACATAAATCTGTATCTTTTCTTAAACCTGTGCAATACGTACGTACGTACATACCTCACATTACACACACGTGCTTACAAATTCAAGCAGGTAGGTCATGTCAATTTCAAAACTACGATATGTGACACTTGCGCAGATTCTTTAATATATTCACGTGGTGTGCATATCAGCTACCCTCAAGATACACGGAACATATCGATGTCAATGTCAAATGACTCACTCGATGAAGATTGGTATCAGTTGAACAGAGTGAAATATGTGTCAGAAGAAGAAACACAGTTACACTACGTGTAATTTTACACTTTTCGTCTCAATTTTCTCCATAAAATTATCAATTTGCCTCAAATTACAGATTTCTACATCCACCAGTGTCCATAAAATAGTAGCGGTTCGACGTACTTGCTTCTTTCGTAGATCGTGATGACTGGTGAGATGATCTGTTGAACTTCAAATGTCAAATGCTAATTTTTCTTTGGTAAATGTGACTTGCAAATTTTTCACTCGAAGTTTGGTTGTGTGGGACCATTAATTTTTGCCAATTGATATCGAATGCATCATCTCAATATACAGTATCCAGGCAGTTTTTGGACGTTCCTCAGTCCTAGTTTTGACACCGACCATTAGTTTTGTCCAGACCAGACGGTATGTGACAGCTCTCGCTCTCTGAAACTCTGAAACTCTTAACACAGGGGGCTACGTTCTCGTAAATGTAAAGGTTTAAAAAACCAGACGGTTGTGAAACAAATTTAAATAAAATAACAAAAAACCACTAAAGGCCATATGCATCCATTTACAAAGCGGGTGTATCAGTTTATTTAGAAAAGAACCGTGAGAGATCAAGTGACAGTGGTGGTTGTGGTGATTTTGTAGATATCTTTCTTCAATAATTTATGCCATGTTTCTCCATTATGCCGAAAATACTACGTGTGCAAGTCGACTTGTCAACTAGAATGTTTAAAATAGTGTCAAATGTTTATTGACAATATTATGTGATGGCTGGACCCAGAATTATACTATGAAACGTGTATGTTTGTATGGTTTGCGTTTCTATCCATCCTGCTAAATATGTACGAATGTATGTATTATACATAGATAAATTAAATGTAGATAGACCTGTTGTGTGGAGAATGTTGGTGCTAATCTATGGACGACTGGAATTTAGGACAGAGTTTTACATACATACATACTTTTCGGCAAGCCTCGAATATCATTATGTGTCAAATTTCATGCATTTATGCACTTCTTCGAAATCGTCATTCTGACTGAATTGTCACCTTTTTCATTAATTTAATGGTCTCTTGATTGAAGTTTGTTCAGTTTGTCAGGTACACTCGTACCATAAGCTCAGTGAAACAGATAAATTAGTGTTAAAATTTGTGAGTGTAACTCCGTACAGTAAATCGAGTTCTTTTCGAGTGACGTATTGAAATTTCTGGAAATAGATAAGGTAAAATTTAAATTTTGATTTGAAAAATCCATATAAAGTTCAAATTCAAGGTTAGATCAAGCTAGATGACTCTACTTTCTTTTGTCGCGTACATACATTAAATATTGTGTAATACAGCAGAAAATTTCTGCCAGAAATAGAAATGCATGACATAAACTTTTGAAAAGTAAAACTGAAACGTTTCCTGAACCGAACAGAAGTAAAAAAAAAGGCTCGAAAGTGCTGGACTTTTCTTCTATTTTTAGCGCACTGGAAGTGAGTGAAGTGGGCATGGATAAACAATCGTGAATAACTCGCTATCATATGACACAGGACAGCAGCCATAACCATGTACATAAATAGCAGAAAATGTAGCAGTGACATTTACCAGACCATCCGAGAGACATCATCATCATCATAATAAAAAATTCTCTTCTTCCTTCCTGGTTTCGTAGTGGCAGTGGAAAAAGAGTGGTCCATTTGCTCTAATGGATACTTTCTCTTCGGGAAATTGACAAACCAATCTCCCAAATGGGACGGATTTTCCATAAAATTTTTAAAATGCATTTGTCCCGTTGTAACAGAATATTGTTATCAAAATGATGCATTTGCATCCCAAAATATAGCCATGCAGAGGTTTTTGTACTTTGCTTTATCACTCCAGCATATTTTTTTAAGAAAATTATTATTTTGTTTGGAAACGACGCGTCGAAACTTGTGCATATTTTATTTTAACCTTCTGCTTACTTAGGATTCTTCCTCATCTATTTATTTCTCTTCTCAATAAATATCCTGAAATTGATTGGCCATAAAATTGCGTCTTTTTCTCCGTCTTCTTCTTCTTCGGCTGTCCCTCCAAGTGGATCGAGGCTCTCGAAAAGTTGTTGTATCCTCTGGTTGTAAACCACTTTTAACACATTTACTTTGGCACATGCTGTGATTCAGGATGTTAGTTGTTCAATGTTGAATTTGCATTAAAATTTAAATGCGACGAGGTTGCAGCTAAAAATCCCCGTGAAGTGAGCTGTAGGTGGTTAATGTTCGGCTACCTTTTCTTCCTTCAAAATGTGCTTAAAAGTGGTCATTTCCAAGCGTCCTGTCCATCAACACGGAGTGATTTAAGACCCTTAAATTTTGTTAGTGTCAATTCAAAAAATGTTAAATTTTTTCCTCAATATATTTTCTCCGAGGATGAGCCAACCCGTGTTTTTAAATGAGATTTCCTTGATATTCACATTCTTCGTCGTCGTATTTTGCTTATTATTATTGCATGAGGTTATACCACACGACGAGGTTTTACATGCGTACCCACTATAAAGTCGGGTTTTATTACCTGTGAAAGGATATGAAATTCGGAAGTTGATTTTATTTTATGACTCTAATTCTCCCCCACTTTGCTAATGAAGGTGATTAATTTGTTTGCCTTGGTATTACCCACGATGCAAATCTGTACACATTGTGCATGTTGTATATGTCTGAACAGTAATGAAACAACTTCATTAAATTTATTTTTTTTATTTTGCAGCTGTAAAACCACGTTGGTCCACTGCTACCTAAACATGCAGGCTTGACTGGGTGGTCAGATTGGCAGATATTGATACGACACGACCACGACACATTTCTAATATTGGAATCATGGACCTGGTAAGAGCGATTTTTTGAAATATTTTTCTTTTTTCAGCGTGTTTAATGTCACCTCGGAACAGAAATAATATTTACGTATTGGTCATTATTTGGAGACATTTGCCAGAACATGGGTTTGCTTCGTATGTACGAACCACTCGTTGGAGCACTTCACCCGAACATGACTTTTACGTAATGTAATATCAAGCAAGCAAGGGTTGTTGGATCCATTTCGGCGACATGTGTCATGTCATATGCACTCTGTTTTTGTAATGCTCAAAATTTGGGTCTGCTGCTGCTCTGGGTTCTTCTTCGGATTGGATTGGACGGGCGTAGGAGGACGTTTACTAGTTTAATAATGTAAATTGGTAAAATATGTATGCATGTTGTCGAATGTCTCACTTTTCTCTCTGGGCGGAAATTAATCCTGTCCTCAGAGTCGTCGCGTATGTGTGTAGAATATGGAAAATGAGTTAAAGTTAAGTTTTTACAAGTAGAAACAACTCTCTCACTCTCGGCCTGTTCGGCTATTACATTACCACACGGTGACAGATTTATCTTAAGCCGAGCGTCCAAAGCTGTTTTACCTACCGCAGTCTGACATTACCTCAGGTCGTGGTGAGGTGACATTATGCATTATACGTCTTACTCAATGTTGCATGATGAATATGTAAAATAACACACACTGACCGTACATACGAAAGATTGATTGTTTTCCAATAGAAATATTGCAGAAAATCATGAATAATTCATACATGTTCAATTCGAGACATGCAGTCTACAAATTGCTCAGTATTTCGAATCTCTTATTAGATCAGTTTCTAAGAAGAAATGTCGCGTCAACGTGGTGACATTCTTTCAGCATTGCTTACTTTGTCCGAATGTAGCATTTTACATTTTAGATATTTTAAAATTACCCAATTTCCATTTGGAACAACAAGAGGGTAACAGACATTCGTATAATTTTCTCTTGAAATTGACAGCAGATTTGAGAAGTCCACCTTTGAGCACATTTCTCGAGCGTGTTACTTTACAAGACAAGGGTTTGATTTGTTAAATCCAAGTCTCGAATTTAAATATGAATTTGTATTTTGATGAGGAAATTATTGCTCCAACAACCTTTCATCTCTCTCCTGAGATAGTGATGAGCTGGTTGGTTAGTTAGTTCAGTTATAGCCTTCAGCTTTGTCTTGTCTGTCGTCGTTGTCTTCGTCTTCGTGACGAGTGACGTCGTGACCAAAACTTCTCTGAGAAGAAGAGAGCAACATTTTTGTCGCATTTTTTGCAACGTGAAATAACGCCTTCTTCTCCCCATTATTTCTTTCTGTCCTGCCTAAAGGCTTCATTAAATAAATGTCTTGCAAAACTCACAATAGGCAACGTAAAGGTGATGGAAGGTGGGAAGAAGAAGTATTGTTTGGGAAACTATTTTAATTTTCAAGTGTAAAATAAAAATGGTCCAACATGAGACGACCAGCAACAATGAGCAAGCAAGCAAGGGTCACTTTTTCTTGACGACAACGACTCATAATAAAGGGAAATGAGATGACACCTTCGCATTATTTCTGATTACGGGGAAGTCGACTCCCATCTACTTATTAAGGATTTGCTCGTTTTATTGTGCGCGAGCTGATTAAAGTTCTGCTGCTATTGCACCATGTCTTTGTCCTTTGCTACGAAAATTGAAGCAGTTTTTACAACCAAGCAACTCATACCTACCACAAATGTGAAATAATATATTCCCACGTCTATCACTCATCTTTTCGTATGCTCTTTTACTTACTTGGAGAACGAACTCTAAATTTTTATCTGCAACATTTTCCCATTTCGTGGTCAAATCTGGTTGATAACATCACATCCCCCGAGAAGAAGAGAACGGGTCACATTGCAATTTATTTTTTCTCACCACTTGCGATTTGAACTTGTCATGTCGCACGTAATAAATTTCAACGTCGACAATGATACAACATAATTTAGCTCGCTCAGAAGAGTAATGTTTGGCATGGAATGAAAAAATGGTGTGCACAATTTCTAATATTTTTAATACGCAGGTAGGTACATACATACATAAGTCATGGGAAATAGGAAAAGTAAGTGTACAAATTATGTTCGACATAATTGCAAGACTGGACCTAAAATAAGGGAATAAACAAGTAGGATAAGGTATTTATTATGGTTTAATATTGTAAAAAGCAGTAGTAAATACGTATTCTGATGGCCACGTATAAAAGTAAAGTGTCGTTCTTGCATCAGGATAGGAATTTTATTGCTGGAGGATAATCTGAGAGGACGAAGTCTTATTGTGAAACAATAAGTTTATCATCTAATTTCATCACAATTATTATTATCCAAAGTTATGATAAGTGTGGTGATATGGGGTAAGAAATTATAGGCTTTACTCCACATTATCCCAGGGATGGAATGATCATATGTAGCGATCGCGGTCATATAAGACGTTTGAACTCGTCGACTTAATAAAAAAAATACAAAAGTTAATCGCTTCACTTCGTCATCACACGAATATCATTTCATCTTTTCCTTCTTCAACAAATAAGTATAATGGTAGACACAGTAGCGTCAAAATAATATCATGCAGCATTTGAATCGCGGTGTGTGTGTCTGTGCATGATGTGCTACCAAATTGCAGAGAAATTTGCATTTCAAATCTGCACTTGACGAAATAAGACCATCAAACTCAAAGATTTGAGTACACACATACTCACTTGGCAGAGATAAATTGAGAGAGATGTAAATAAGGTGGGATGACCCAAACCACAATTCAATCAGTAGTTAAATTGTCGTTAAACCCTGGTCGATTTTATACTCCGTTCTGAATCTTAAATGTGAAATTGGACTGTTGGGCGACATTAAAATATTGATTTTGTGCTAAATTCGTCCTACTTTCGCCAAAATGAAATTATGGGAAAAGTTTTGTAATAAATTAAATTGTGTTTTATATGCATAATTTGATGATACTTTCTCATGGATTTTGTTATAATAGAGTAGTGATAATTGATACTGATAACAAGATCTTGGTCGCAATTTCCAGAAAATATGTAGGGAATTCAATTGACGAGGAAAGAGTGCGAGTATCTACAAAAAAAGTAAAATGGTGAGACAGAAGACAGAAGGAGCAAGAGACCACCCCGACTTTTCATGTAAACAAAGTGGAGGGACCAAAAATACATCATCTAGAAATTGGAAAACATCATCATTTCATCTTGGTCGTCATATGCTATGGGATATGCGACCCAGAAAAGATCACATCACACAGATGCTCTCGTTTTGCCGGAAAAGCGTAATTTTACAGGAGGCTAAAAGTGATGTAAAGCCATCTTTTCATTAGAAAGTACAAAGTACACTCTGATAAACGACGAGGATGCGATGCGCGAGGTTGACTAATGTTCCAAACCTTCGTTCGGTGTTCTTGGTTAGGTTTATTTTTCGAAGGGAGACAGAGACAGGGGACATTGGCCAAAAATAATAAATACAACACATCACCAAGAGCGTACAGTTCCAAGGCGATGTTCTTCTTTAAACCGTCAACAGTTGACTTCTTTCTCTTCACTCTCTGATCGTCTTGGAGTTAAATTTAACGTGAGACCGTTCATCCATATCTATCTATCCGTGGTCCCAGATTGATTCGGAGAATTCAGCACCCTCGAGGCCCGTGACACATTTCCTCTACTTGTATTGGACATGTGTAACTATTAACTATACCAGTTAAGCAATTTTGTTCGTCTTTTAAACACGCCGAGTCGTCGTCCATATTCATTTCTAGGATTTTTTTACTGCTAAATTACATGAACAGAGATGTCTTTGAAACACAAACAAATGTGACGAGCTTCTTTCACACAGTTGAGATTTTATGTTGTTTTTTACCTCAATTCTAAAAATGTCAGATTTAAGAGTGTCGGATGTTTAGATGAGTTAAATCTATGTTCTGGCCACGTATATATGACTAAGAAAAAGAATGTTGGTTGGTTTTTTAGCGCTTAGATTGCACTGCTTCTTTTTCGGTCTGTGAGTAAAAAGTGTGAACATCGTCACCAACCATGTTCTTTTGACGACGATGTGTTTTGTTGCCTCCTCCTCCTCCTCCGTCTCCCTTCCTGTGAAATTCCTAATAGCTTTGCCAGACCTGAGGAGGAGAAATAATGTCGAATGGATGAAGAAGAAGAAGGCGACGGAGTGCCAAGTCGTTTAGTCTTGTCGGTATTTTCTTAAACATTTATTTATGGAATTTGGGGTTCAAGTGTTGTGGATATGAAATTTACTTTGCTGCTTAAACCTTCTCGTCTCATCATCTTATCATCTTGCTCTGCTTGTCGGGTGACTCCAGAGCCAGATGCAAAATGGCGTCTTTTTAGACATGCATTTTTTAGGAATTGTCATAACCAGATATGTAATCGAAGACAGGGTGGCATTTCTCGAAGAAATGCTAAAAAATTGAGGGAAAACATGGTAGTGTGACACACAGTAAAACCTGATCACTTCAAATGCAGTGAATCACACGAGAGATGATATTTCTAAAAATCTAAACCTTTTTCAGAAATAAAATACATGAGACTTGGTACAAACGGTAAAAAATGATCCATTTAATTTCATCCCTTAAATAAACCCCTCCTTCTCCTATTGAGCACAAAACTGTCTGTGAAAGATGAGTTAAGAGTAGAAAATGACTGGTTTTAAGCTTTTTCCAAATTAAAAGGGCTCCCAATCCTCCTTCATCCATTCAGGCAATATGACTGAAGTTACAGCCAGGTAATGGCTAAACTACCACAATTGAGGATCGTATCCTTTTTAGGGTGGCGAGGGTCCTTATTATTATTATTTCTCCCTCTTTGTCCATGAGGGTCGAGGCTGAGGTTAGTGCAGTACGTACATCCACATATTTAGTTATGAAGGATTGCATGCATGCAGGGTCGCCTTTTACCATCATTTTCTCATCTTCTTCTTCTTTTTCTGTGTCGGTGAGTTCGTCCCCACAGCACATGAAACAACGAAATGAAATGATTGTT